CTGGCTTCGCAGTTGGAAGCCGACCAGCAGAGCCATGTGGTGCAGCCCGAGGTCAAAACTGCACGCTGATCGAAGCCCAGGATGGTTGTAGATGGCCTCAAAGAACAGCTGGGTCTGTAGTGGACTGACCACCCACCCCTCGCGGCCAAATCTGGTGCAGAGGGAGCGCCCAAAGGAACGATCCGTGTGGTGCAAGTTACATATGTCCGCTCCGTGAAACGGCTGATACTGCGACACTCCGGTAACGATGTTTTTGTATTAGCGACGGCAATCTTTTTGACAGCAGTGATGCCGTGAGACAACAGTGATGTATATCCGTGTGCGATCGCAAAACCTCCGCTCAGAGATCGCTTATGGAGCCGCTTATGTTTTCCTTCCTTCATTCCGTGTAGATATTATTTCGGGGCATTTGTTTCGACGTTCAAAACTGGTTTGAATACACGTTTCCCTTTATCGAAACCCTCCGCAAGCTCCATTTATCACCAAGATCCAACGAGACCGGCAAACCCGAAGCCTAGAACCCAGACAGCCTTAGGCAATCCAAGCACACGCGGAAGCGAAAGGAAATTGACCATTTGTGGCAACGGACCAAGCGCTCACGACTTCAACGCCGCATCCAGTTCTCCACTTTCCACCAGTTCTTTGACGATGTCTAGCCCCCAACAAGCTCGCCCTTAACCCAGAGCTGCGGGTAGGTGGGGAAGTCAGCAAATCTTTCAGCTCTTGTCGCACCTCCTCGTCCGAAAGGATATCAAACGTGCTGTACTCCATGCCCACTGAATTCAGAATGTCCACCAGCTGACGGGAAAACCGCACGCGCGGTTGTTCAGCGCGCCTTTCATGAACAGCTGCACAGGCGCACCGGTGGTCAGCGCGCGCAGCCGCTCGTCCATCTCCTGTTGCGACTTCTTTGCAAGGAAGCGTAGAAGCTAGCTCTCCTCGCCACCAGCTCCTTGATTATGTCTAGGCCGCCCACCAGCTCACCACCTACATACACCTTCGGATATGTTGGCCAGTCGGAGAAGGTCTTCAGGCCCTGGCGCACCTCCTCGTCCGACAGGATGTTGAAGCTGGAAAAGCGTACGCCGTGGCTGTTGAATATCTCGATCATCTGCTTACTGAAGCCACATTTCGGCTCATTGGGGGTGCCCTTCAGAACAACATGCACGGCGCCTGGTTTACGAGCCGTTTCAGGCGGGCATTGAGGTCCTCCTCAGGACGTGCTGGTGGTGGCGGCACTTCGCGTGTTGCGCACGTGTTTGCACTTCTTGTAAGCTCTGCCGCCTTGGCGCCGTCGCGCGATCCACAGCCTTGCCTCCCTGAAGATGATAAATGTGGGCACTGCTGAAATAGCATGTTTTAGGGCCAGCTCTGGCATGTCCTCAGCCTCCACAGAGATGAACTTGACATGGGCCAGTTGAGGTCACTTAACAGCTCATCCAGCACCTCATTCATTTGCTGACACTGTGGCGCCCAGTGGGCTGAGAAGTGTGCCACTGTCAGCTGGCCCAGACAGGCTTCTGGAAATGCATCTGCTGACGAGATCTTGGTCACAGGCAGCGAGGTTGGCAATGCTATGTTGCAACCTGGTGAATCGGCAGTAATCTGAAAAAAGATGCCAACAATGACCATCCCTTCAGCACAAGTAGACATCTGGTACTGCTATGGCAGCTTCTACCTCACCATATAGAACCTTGGTGTCCAACATGATGACTTCATACACATTGAGAAGCTCCCAAACACCAATATCTTCAGATTTAAACATCCAACTGAGTGCTGCATGGATAAAGTGCCTTTTAGAAGCAAAAGTCAGTTTCTGATACAAGTTTAGCATTTACATGGCATTTGTTATCCATGTTCACACTTGTGTGTAAGCCCTCATGGCACAACCCATCCCCAGGAAAAAGCAAACAGGGAGTAAGAAAACATTGTGAGTCCACCATATGTGGTGAAACTAGATCCAGCAATTTTTTTAAATTCGGTATTTTTACTTTTACAAGGATAACATCACATCACCAAAATGCCTTCCCCCGATCCATATCTTCATCTAAGGATTATACCTATGACATCTTGCAATACATGGCCTCATTTTGGACTGACCCCTGATACACTCTGAAGCAGATATGTGTCATTCTTAACTGGCCTTAGCTTATACTTGAGAATGACATCACAGGTTGACAGAAGACAAGCAAGCAAGACAGTAGAAATTGGGACTCAGCAACCAAAGCTGCAACTGGTTGCAAGATGGTTGCACCTATTCATTCTACAGGCTACAAAACGAAATGAGGCAACAACTACATGGCTGCAGAACTATGAGTAAGACAAGACACATGGAGTACAACAGCAGTGCAGCAGAACAGCACGATTTCCTGAAACAATGCTGTAAACTTAACTATCTTCAAGATATTTTCCAGGTGTCAAAAATATGGATTTAAGTCACATGATTTTCATGAAACTGCAAGCTATGCCACATCAATGATATTGTTTCAGATGATCATGCTCGCCATATCAGAATTCCTCTAATATACTGTCATGTACGACATACCCCTGACGCCGGCACCCAGCCTCTTCGCTCACTGTCGGTGTTGTCGATAAATGCTGCGCATCATCTCAGGGAAGCGTGGGCTAGTGCATAACCATGCCAGCTGATGATGACGTCATTAGCAGGCTAACTTGTTTTCTTAAGGGTGAAAATGTCTCATCTGCTAAAGAAGGCTTTATTTGTGCTGACTTGCTCTTGTTGTGGTACTTAAGAATCTGATACGGTAGCTTTTATTGCTTTGGTGTTATCTGGAAATTACACTTATTTTGCCTACAATTTTATTTTTCCTGCTCTTGTGCCGGAAGTAGCTTGCTCACATCGACATTGAAAATGTAAGTGACCCAGACACAATGTAGGGCACCAATAATCAAGTCTGTCAAAAGTGGTTAACAAATGGGGCCCTCGAGAAGGTTGTGGAACCCTCCGCAAGTTACAGGGCATAGGAAGAGCCCTTGACCGATGTGTAGGGCCCAGGATCATACCGCGAGTGCGTCAGCAGGTTAACCGAAACCAACGTGAAGGACACCTGAGCAACCCAAGTATCCGGAGTTTAACACATGGACTTCGGCTAGAGCGTATAGAGCCTTTGGCAAATGGGAAGAATCCGTAGAAGGCTCTTGATACAAGAATGCCGCGGCATGCCAGCAGAAAGGGGCCCGGCTGCGCGGGTTCTCTGAGCAAATGTAAAAAATCAAGGGCAAAGTGGAAAGCTCATTATTGATCGTATTTGATTTGCAAGTGGACATATAGGGTGACCAGAAACAGTGTAGGGTCTCTGGGCAGATTAATTAGGCTAACAACCTCTCAATCACCACCTTCTCAATCAGTGAAAATTTAATTTCGGCTGTAGTCGGTCCTTCACTTTCGCTTGCATCTTTTTCTTGGTCGCTGGAAGCCCAAAGGCATCCAATTGTTGCGTTTTGCGTAAGAAAAGCTGCGTTTGTTCGACCGGCTGTGAGGTCCCTAGGAGCTTAGGGCCCCCTTGGGCCCGAAGGGAAACAGCCTCGTGCCCCTCTCTCCTTGATCCACCCCTGTATGATGCCGATTTTGCACTTCTTCTGCCCCACACTTTTGTGGTCCAATATAATCATAGAAATTCGTGGACGTTTGTGGCGGAAGTGGCAGCATCATCCCGACTACTACCGGCAAAACTGAAACGTAGCACTCCGCTGAATATCATATGCTAACATGTTAGTTGCAGGTTGTTGTATTGAGGGCATGGCGTAGGGACAGGGGGGGGGGGGGCAGGGGGGCCATGGCCCCCCACTTTTGAAAGTGGGGGGGGGGGGGCAGCAGTGTTAACTAGTCCGTCCCCAATTTTCAGATCAAGGTTGCGTTGGCTTTCTTTTGCACTACATTTCACACACACAGCCGAGGTCGCGCCACACACACACAGCCGAGCCACAAGCCGAGGTCGCGCGACCTGTGGAGACTGCAACGCCGGGCGTTGAGGTTGTTGCTATGACTCGCGAGCGCGCAGGTTCAAAACCATATGACATGGTATTTTTTATCAGTAATTAATTCTGACTGAATCTTGAACATCTTAGGACGAACATGGATCAGAAATATCGATACAAATTTAGGACCCCATTCTATCTACAATCTACGTTCAGGGAGTCTGCAATATCTCTGAAGAACACATAACAAACATGGAACGGTAGTCTGTGTGAACAATTGTTTGGCCACCTGCGGCAATCAGGCATGTTGCTGCAAATGAGGATTGCTATGCTGATCCGGGGCCAGCTGTGGCGGGTCAGCAGGGCTCCCCGAGTCAGGGAGGGGAACAATGTTAATATGGCATGTCCTTCTCATGGCCTTCGGATCCGGAGCAGGATCGGATTCGGACCAGGAGATCCCCGCCCCGTGTCGCTAAAAATGACAGACAGAGGACACTTTACGATGGGACGGAGTGGCCCTTCAGCGCTTGACCGGAACTGGTAATGTGCCCCTTGCGCTCTACTTAAGGGGCCCCTTGGGCCGGAAGGAAAAAGGGGTCTCATCATTGGTGAATCGAGTTCCTCATTATTGTTGAATGGAATGGGTTGAACTGAATGTTTAAAAAAACGAACAAGGCATCACATGTTTTTCTTGATAGTGTTTCGTTTTTCAGAATGGATTAGTGAAAAAATTACATCAAAAGAGGTTTGATCATTCTCGCCTGCCCGCCCGAGAGCAAGGACAAGCGATGGGTTGCGTTGCAGCTTCTGTAAAACCGAACGGTGTCGGTCCACAGCAAGTGCCACCAGACTGGGGGCAGCCGTGTTAATCCGTCTCTGACAGATAAATAGTTGCAGAAAGCACGAAAAATAGATATTCTACCTATAATTCTTCCAGCTCCACCACCAGATACCAGCGCCACTCTGCGGTGCGTTAAGGGTCAATCCGTTTGTTATCATCAAGTGAAAAAATCGCACACATGAAATATGCGCCCAGACTGCCAAGATGTGATGTGAAGCGTTCAAAGGTTGCTTCTTTCGTTTCGTCCGCACGTTAGCACACACGACTCGGTATACTGCTGGCCCGACGCTGCGCGGTCTACGGAGACTGCAGCGCCTGGCATCGAGGGCTTTTATTCCCCAAGACCTGCGAGTGCGCATGCTCAAAATTACATCATACAACTTGTATCACTAATCGATTCAAGTGTTTAAAGGCATTTGTTTCAGAGGCGTCATCATTTTCGTTCCACCCGGTCGATCATAGGCGAAAAGTTATCCTCTGGACTGATGCCTCGCCGACTATGGAGACTGCAAACGCCTGGTGTCGGGGTTTTTGTTGCGAAGATTTGTGAGCGCGCACGTCAAAAATCACGTTACATAAATTGCAATCACTAATCGATTCTGACTGGATGGTAAACCCTTCCAGACAAAAACACTGCTTGGTCGTCTTAAAACACATTGTTGACCGTTCGATCTACCACCAAATTTGCGTCCTCAAGTTTCGATCAAAACATATCGATCTGCAATCGACCTTCGCAGATGTCCTCAATGTCTGTAAAACCAGGTAAAACATTCTGACAAAGCTTCTGAATTCTGCCGGCTTATAAAAGGCCCACAAAGCCATTGTAAGTTAACGCCACCGCGTGATTTATTCCATGTGGTCATTCAACACCTGATTTCTGCAGTTTATTGGCCTTAAAAATACAAACCGAATTGAGTTCACGGGAGCTTCTGTTTTCTGCCTTGGTTGCAAGGTAAAAATAACAATGAAACGAAGGAAACCACATCCCTTGTTAACAAGTAAATTGCATCCGGGGATTTTTTCGGCGGGGGGTCATAAGAGGGACTTTTGTTAATCCTGTTCTCTCCTTAGCAAGGCTCTGGCTGCGCCCCTGCCTACACACAGAAGCAGATCAAGTCGTCTACGTTGAAGGATGGGCAACTAAATGTCCTTCGGGCCAATTCATACCTAGGGCAGGCAACTTCTCGGAGACTTTTTATACGGAAAATAATTCGGAGAAAGATGCTGCTGCAGGTGTCCAACATTGTTTACACAACAGTTAGTAGCAATGTTGATCCAGAAAAATGCGACAAAGCAGCCATATGATCAGTTCGCAATCAGTCATACGGGAGACAGCCGAGCCTGGGCAGTGGCCACCGATGGCGGAAGGGAGCAGTGCTCAGATGAGGAATATATGACAGAAGAGGCCTTCATTCTGT